AGGCAACAGCGAAGTCCAAAATACCTCGCCTCAGCGCCCATTTGTCCGCCGACACCACTCTGCCGCGGCGACCGCCGCCGTCGCCACCGGCGCCGCCTCACCCAGCGTATTGATTTCCATACGGAGAGTTATTCAAACTGAAGCAGCCAGCCTGCTCCGCCTTGGCCGCCGGCGCAGCCGGCTCGCCGCGCTGTCGACACCCCGCCGGTTCCCATGCGTTTTTGCGTGCACGCGCTGTCGACCGCCCATTGGCCGCCTCGGGGCTCGGTCGAATGACGTCACTAGGAGGCGGGGCGTCGCCGCTTTAAAGTTGAAAGGGTTAACTTGAGGCATGCAAATCGAAGCGGGCCGGCTATGCAAATGGTCGCTGGGCGGCTGGGGGCGGGGTCTCGGCGCGGCGGGAGGGGCGAGGCGGCGGCGGTCGGGCGGCCGCAGCGCGCCGCGAGGGGACGCTACGTGCAACGTGTGCAGGATGGGGAGGGGGAGGGGAAGGGTAAGTCACGGCAGCTCGGATGCCGGGCGGCGGCGGCGGTGCGGCCCCGCCCCCGTTTGTGGCGACAGCGGCGGGTCGCGCCGCCACCCGTTCGGCCATCAATAATGCGACGAATCAATAATCAATTTGATTCCGTCGCCGGCGCAGTCAAAAATCAAATGAACGCGCGCTGTTTTTGCGGCCGACTGGCGTGTCGCTGCCGACGGCGTGCCGGACCGGCCTCGTCGATAACGACGATCATAGGCTCGGCGTTTTTGTCGCCGTCTCCGGTCCTACATATGCCAATTTTCTATATGGCGTTTTTGTTTGGCTGGCCGGCGACCCGGTTCGAGCACGCCCAAAGGACACGCACTGAGGTCACGGCAGTGGCAGCGGCAGGCGCCGATCGCACCCCTCCCCTCCCCTCTCTTCCCCACCGCACCCCTGCCGGCGGTAGTTTTCTTGAACTGATAAGAAATGCACAATATTGTTTCTTCCGTCGGTAGATACATTGACGGGGCTTTGGCATGTTCTTGTTCGGCATTGTTTGCAAAAGTGAAATAATCATTTTAATTTGATTCACCTCCGGGGGCATCACTTTTCAATTCGGCTTGTTTGTCAGTAAATCCGTGATGCCTCAATACCCACACGATGTATTTGATTGAAAGGATGCGAATGCTCGTTTTTCCTCATCCAAGTGATGTGATATGAACCAGGATGTTCAGGATGTAATTTTCAAAATAATTGTTAGGCATGCCGATAGCCTAATGCCAATTGCCTAATGCAAGCCTTTGACAAAAAAGCTGTTTTATCTGATGAAGATCCTTGTGCCCTCAATCACTGTTTTTTGTAGCTGACTTTGGCAGGCGCATATAAACAATCATGGTGTTGATCTGGAGTTAGGGGCACTGCTGTAAAATGCATAAAATACTGTATGCATGCAATGCACAAAATGCGTTACAAAAAAGGTATTAATTAAAGAAAGTTGATAAAGACGAGTCCAAATCAATTAGCGATGTCCAACGGATCTCACAACTCACTATCTGTTTCATTGACAGTGACAAAAAAAAAACACTGATATAAATGAGCTAATAATGTTTGCATCTTATTGACAGCTTTGTAATACGTCTAACTTTTGTACTAAGGCGCACGTCTACTCCCTTGAACATTTAACCACAGTCAAATAGTATTCCGTTTAATATTGTCCACCATCTCTACCTGTTCTAATCGGAAGTTTCGCTGATCATATAAACATGGTAAACGACTGACTAAGTCACTAACAACTAGTCCAACAAATCGAACACAACGTAGAACAGGTGTAATTACCCTGTTATTCCAACGCCTGATGAATAATCACTTTCCTTCCTAGTGAGGGATTGCTTTCCAGAGTGATTTCAAGTGATCCCCTTTGGAGGGTCTTGGTGGACATCACAGCCTATTCCACGGCTGACAAAGTTGCTGTTCGTTCCTTCCATCGCGGCGCGTTAGGTGGACTGTGGACTGTTTTGTTTGCTCTTGGACAAGCCGCACACCAGGTCCCTCCCTTCGCTTATTACCTGTCTCGCCCACCTATGAATTCGAAGTCACCGATCGGTGCGCCACTCTATACGGATCGTCTGGTGCTGCGCCACTGTACCAGCCAGTGATTAGTCAGAACCCACCTCCCGCCGTGCGTTCTGTCACCTTTGAGTATCGGCCGCACTCACATGCGCCGCGTTTGTAAGCGGCGCTCATTTCTCCTTGCCGGCGCGCTAATGGTGCCCCGTTTCCAGCCTCGATCCAGCGACATTTTCACAGTGGGGAGGCACATTAGGCCGGCTGAAAACTGGCTAAATTTGAATTATGCAGGCAGCCGGCCGGCGGTGTCCAATGCGGGCATACAAAATCAATATGTCCGACTGGCGGGCTACCAATCGGCCGGCGCGTGTCAATGACGGTGGCAGCGGCGAGCGAGCGCGCGCGCCGCACAAAAACCGGCAATTGGGTGCGCGCTGCTAACGGAATGCCCCGGCCGCGGCTGAAGGGTGAGCTGGGACCGGTTGCGGTGGGCAGAGAGATCTTGATGCTTCTGATCGCTACCGGCAGTCTCCGGTTAGAAACAGTTCCTGATCGGTACCAACAGACTGGTTAGCTATTTCTCTTCGTCGGGACAGGTAATCCCGGCTAGATGCATTTTCTGATCGTCGTTCGGCTCGAAATAATTTTGATCGGTATCACCAATCTGCAGTTAGATAAGCGCCAAGAAGAGTACGAAAGAGCCAACACTCCCGACTAAATACAGCGAGTTGTCAGTGCATCGCGTTCCCAGTGATCTCCAGAGGGCTGACCTGACGCGTGAGAGGAAGGGACCTCACCGCACCGCGTGCCGCGACAGTTGCTATCCGGATGGAAAGCCCTGGACGGCATCTAATGAGGTTGCTGCGCCGCGGACTGGAGTTCGACGACCGTGGGCTTGTTGATGAAACAACTGGATGTGGTGTAAGCTAGAGGCAAAGTGGGAGCAGAACTTGAAGTTAGAGATGGAGTTTGGCGACAGTCAGAGTCGGGGTAGGAATCGGAATATGCAACCCGATGACTGCTGTCCGAGATCTCGTATCACATTTCTTTCACGACTTCGATCATGGATCATTCCTAGGTGTAGTGGCCATGAGTGAAGGTCAGGGACGGGCCTGGGTGCACGGTAACTCGGTTTGGGCACGGGGAGGTGGGTCGATCACACCCCCCAACCTCCCGCGGAGTCGGCTGGCCGACGGGAATGCTCAGTCCACCGCAGTCGGCATGTGAGTCACCCCATGACTCGGTTAATTTCTACCGGTAGTCAGTGACATAGCCAGTTGCAGTGGCATGGGCAGTGGCAAGGGAAGGGTTCTGTAGGGCAGTGCCATGGTTAGAGGGTTGAGTGGGCTCCGTTCGGAGAGTCGGTCAGAAGTGACGCGTCTGAAGCTCCGTGTGTGCCAGGGCACCTTCTCAAGCGCTTGGAGGGCTAATGATGTGACATTTCTGGTAGGTGCGGCTGCTTGTGCGGATGTGGTTGTGTAGATGCGTTGCCCTATCGTGGTATATAGGGGCCGAGGAGTGTCTCTTCATCTGGATAACTTCTTTGCAGAACTCTGCATGGTTTTTATCGTCTTCCATGAACGAAACGCGCAAAAAAGGCCCATCTTCTCAGTACAAATCAAATGGGAATGAAATCGATACCTGTCGGCTAAAGGCTCGCTCACTTTTTCTCTGGTGAGACCAAGTTTCAAGGAATCTGCATAAAGACTGTCAGATTTTGCTTCGTTTATGACTCATTTGCTTGATGGCAATGATGACGAAGGGGATCATATTCCTAATGCCTCGATCATATTGAGTTAATTTGCATGAATTTGTATCATTAACATCATATCTGTTCAGCCTGTGCGGAGAGAAAGACATTCTGATAAGTTCATCTCTCTCGCGCCCAGGTGCGGGTAAAGATCAATTCCATCACCCCTCCTCCGCGCTCTCCCTCTGCTCCCACGCTCTGCCAGCAGCCGGACGAGTTTCTGGCCATTGCCACCAGCGTTCAATTTGCTAATACGCTTTCGGTTGGCGGCGGGCGGCAAGCCCCATATGTTTCAAAACTATACGGCCTGTCTTTACGATCGGCGCGGCGCGCCTGAATATGCCGTCGGGTGACGATCGTGGCGCACCAGCGGCAGCTGCGCCGCACCTCGCCGCAGCGCGCCACTCTGCCCACCATCTAATCTCTTCTCGGGGAGTCGTAGATCGCGTCCCGGCCGCCCGCGCCCGCCGCCGGCACGGCCGGCGCGCGAATATTCATTCCCGACTGCAAGTTTAATCGGGCGGCGTCGGCGGCGGGAGGACGGCCGTCGACGCCGACGCGCCGCCGTCGCCGCCGACGCGCCGCCGTCGCCGCCGACGCGCCGCATACTAACGCCACAATCTGGCTGGTCCCAATCGGCCATAAATGAAATCTCCATGCATTAGGCAGGCGACGGCCGTTTTGGTGGCGGTCGGCGCCGGCGCCGCGCTGGAATATGCGCGGCGCGGAGTAAACGGTGGCGCCGGGCCTCCTCTGGGGCGCGCGCGGCGTCGACTAGACGACTCCCCGGGCGCCGCCGGACGCGCCGACTTGCGCCGTGCACGGGCGATGGAGGGGGCCCGGAGGGGTCCTCACCGGCCCGCAGCAGCCACCGGCACCGCTCTCCTCTGCCTGTCGACGGGCAGAGGAGCGGCTGGAGAGGACAAGGAGCACAGACACGCTGGATGGCGGAGGAAGTATGGGAACGGATGCCGGTAGATGCAGATGGAGATTAAGAAGGGTAGCTTGTTAAAAAGAAACGAGTATGACGTTAAACAAAAATTTGTTGAGAAATAGAACTTTTATGCATAAGGCGTAAAGTTACTCAAGAGATCAAATTATCTTCATAAGCGCAGTGTATGTTGTGAGTAACTAGTCTCAGTACTTGCTCAATCATCCTAATCAGGAGCGATTAGTCCCAATATGAATACCCCTCTAACTGGCGCTCTATTTCCGTTCCAGGCGATCACCTACAAAAGATGGAAAGGGAGCTGCCCTCCTCACCAGTCAACATGAAAGGTCAGTGTTCACTGCATGCAGTGCCCACTGGGGTGACCAGCGGGCTGTCCAAGGGCCCGGCCACTACTCAATGCCAGCCGGGGTGGCCGGCCGACCGGCCCCGGCGTTGTGCCGTGCGATAACGGCCGTCGGAAGGGTTCACTGGGGCTCGAGCGGCCCTCACCGGGGAGCCGGACACCGTCCACAGAGGGGAGAAAAATGGAGATGACGCCCATAACATCGCGCCGACCGCGCCTAAGAGTGTGTCGACAGGTCTGAGCCGCGAGGGAAAACATACGCCCGTGGCTCGCAAATCCACTGTTGACTTTTTAGGGGAGCGCGGCGGCTTGACTGAACGAGTTTTTTATCGAACATTGTTTCTGAAAATGTAAAAACAAACAGTTTTATCGGATATTAGAGGCTGAAACGAATGCATTTTTAAATTTCATTTAGTAAAACATATGACAATATATTTTTGAAGTTACAGCGGACCGTTTTGTTTACTTTGATATGATTCAATTATGGCGCTACTGTTTGTGTCATGCTTACACCTCCGCCTTGTTTAAACAGCACCGGGGCGCGTTGTAGCGGCGTTTTTCTAGCCGGCTAGTTATGGACTGGATTCTTTGTACTCCATTACCAGTCCATGTGGCGCTGTTTTTGTTGCGAGCCGAGCATCACCGGTAGGTTTTTGTGCAGCTACCTGATGTCTCCAGACACGCGCCGTGCGCCGAGCCACCGGGTATGTTAGCTGGCCACCTCACAGCCCAGCTGTAGTGACAGGTCACAGCCACGGACGAGTCACTGGTTATTGGTCACTGGTCACTGGTCAGTGGTAAGTGGTCACTGGTCAGTGGTCACGGTCACTGACTGATGGGCGTGAGTCGGTTCGTGACGGGGCGCCTCATCACCGGTTACAACTGCCACGGTTATGCGCTTTATCCTTGAAAAGGAATAACTCTATTCTAAGACATGCTTGCTATTTAACATCGCTAAAGGCGTCCTACTTGCCCACTTGCCACGGTGTGGAAGAACGTACCATAGAACGCCTGAGCTCCGTGGAACGCCATTTTATGTTGTGTTGACCATGGATCATAAAGCAGGCGCATAAAAAATAAAAAGTCCATGGGCCAGGCTTCTTACTAGCGCGTTAGCATGACTGCCTAACGCATTTAGCACGGCTGACTAGCTCTGTCCTGTCTCGGTGGTGCGCTGTCCGCCATGTTGTGTAATAACGTGTCACTCTGATGTCTCCGTGACGGGAGCTGTCCACGCGATGACGGTCCCCCATTGTGCGCGGGGACAAAAACGCTCCCTCCCCAAAACCGCTGGTGTGTACCCTCAACTAGTCGACAGTCGTCACCCCTTCCCCTCGTCAAACTCGACTCACAGGAAACCCTTAGTGCCGCGCCCCAGGCCATCGGCACCATTCCACACTCTTCGAAAACGGAGAATTGTTTAACCGGGACATAGGTAAACGATTTATGAGTCGTTAATAGTCCTTTATGTGCCCGGCATACGGAGGTTCTTCCATCTTTTATAGTAACTCTAAATTTCACCTGCCGGGACCGGCGGCGCGCACGGCGGCGGCGGCGGCGATGGCGGCGGCGGCGGCGGTGTTACGGGAAGTGATGGAGAGTTGAGCAGAGACTAGCTGTAATGCCACAACGGCGGGACGGCGGCCGTAGAGACTCGCCTTGCGTCCAGAGGTCTGTCGACTGATCAGCCGGCCACAGCGGCCATTTCAGAACAGCGCCCACTCACCAGCAGCCCTCAGCTGCAGTCAGACCGGGCAACGGAGGCAGGCCAACAGTCTCGACGCCAACCGTGTCAGGCGCGATTTGCTCGACGAAGTTTTATGACTCCGCTTTAGCTGTCTCGCATCACGAAAATTGAGGTGTTTTTAGCGGCGCGCCTCGGCCGGTAAAAAGGCTGCCCAGTTTCCGGCAGGACCTGACGTCTGTTAAAGTAATGTGTCGCCGACGGTACCGACGAACGTCCTGCGCATAAATCGTACCTAGTGCGCGACTTCCAGCTGAATCAGGCCACCCAGCCTGCTGTGGTATACCGCCGGCACCCTTCTCCCTCATCCAAACCCTGATCAGTCTCCCGGATGGCGCTGCATTGGGGAGAAGACAGGACTGCGCAGCCACATATCATTCTAATTCCGGCGCGGCCAGCCCGTCGGTGGACGGCCATTGTCGTTGCCAAATTGAATAGCCCCTTTGTCTGGGACGCAGATGCTGAAACTTTTTCCGTCGCGTTTCTATCCTTGTTTGTTTGATTTTATTTATCCAGCCACAAACGAAGGCTTTATTCTGCCACCAGCGCCGGACAGCGGTGGCTGAAAATGCCGCCCGAATAAAACCCAGCCCACGGCGGCGGCGTCCCGGCGGACGACGAGCCGCAAAAGATTCGAAAAGATTTCTGCATGGGAGAGTGTGCAAGACGACTCAAGTTGGCGGCCACCCGGGGCCGCGGAGCGGAGTTGGCTCTGCGGCCGGGGAGGCTCCAGTTGAAGCCATTAACCCGTCGGCGAGCCACGGCAGTCAGCAGTCGGACGGCCGGTCCGGAATACGATAATGGAGTGCTCCCGTGAAGCTAATGGCCGGTTTTGCCACACAATCCAGGCAGAGCGCCACCGTCACGGGCAGGCACCGGTTGAAACTCCAACACCACAGACCCGCTGTTTGGTCCGTCTGCGGCGGCGCACAATAATGAAATAACAAATCACCTATAGTGATATCGATATAACACCAGCGGGCAGGAGCCATACTCGCACACTGCAAGGTGGCTGGCTCCGCTGGTTCTGGCTGGTTCCACTGCTACATACGGATCCGGTGGTATCCTAGCTATTAGCTAAAAACGTGAGCAGCTCCGAAGGATTTACGGTGTTACCGAGAGCAGATACGTGGATCCAGGCATACCGGGATGTCCTTGTAACTGAGTAGCGTGCAGACAAAGATGATTGACTTGCGCGCTACTTTGTGCTCCATTTCTGGAGTGCAATGTGTCAGGTATGTGCCGTTAGCCTGGTGAAGCGATTCTACCCATATGAAGACCAACCATTTGCTTAATGCTTTCAGAAATCTGACCAGTCACTGAACGATTATTGCGACAAACTAAACAAAAGAGAGAGCGAAAAAAAAACGAATGTATATAATCGGCAAAGTTGCGCTCCAATATTTAAGCTCTAGCATATAAGTACTCATTAAAAGAAATTGTTGTCTTATTTAACTCCATGTCGTCTGTATTTTGGAACAAAATGCACTTGAGGCCAGCACTGTTCTTAAAAGAATACGCCAAGTATACTTGGCGTGGATATACTGCTCAAGCAGGTATGCAAACTACTGTATTATTTCGGACTTACCTAATTAAATCCGCCGGTGCGTTTGCATAAGCTGCCTCTTTTGACACTTCTGTGAACATTGAAACAGGTGAAACTCTATTATATAACAGACCACCCTGGATCATTATAACGCCTGTGAACGACCTCGAGTTGCGCTTTTTGGTGTCTCTCGGCACCCTGTTTTCCGGCGTCTCAGGGGAGATCAGGCGGGGTCTAACATTCCCCAGCAGGGCACCAGAGTCTCAGTAGCGGTCAGGCACGGACTTTGTCTCCATTGCTGCCGCAGTAACCGCAGCACGGGTACAGTGAGTGCCCGTCGCACGGATGTGGCCATGTCAGAGAGCGCCAGGGCCGAACCGGACGAGTTTCACCGCGCGGCCAGACGACCGGCGGATTACGGTACGGTGACAAACTGCCGTGTCACATTTTCAGGTTGTGGTTTTTGCTGGCTGGTCGGACAGTGTGATGGGCTAGCTAGCTGTCAAGTTTACGACTGCAGACTGCTGCTAAGACTGCTGTACTTGTGCGGCGGTTTCGGGATCGGCGGTTCGCCCTCTCGGCTTGCAAAATGCTCGCCTGTCAAAGTTTGCAGATCATTTTTGTGGGCTTTGATGGCGAACACCGGGGACATGCATGATTACAGTTCATTACATTTGATGTTTTATTAAGCAACCAGGAATGACATGTGAGCACCTGGGCGGTAAAAAGAGGCGGGTTTCTTGTCTCTTTGTCGAGCTGAGCAGCGCCAGCGACTCGGTCGAGGTTTGCAGGTTGTGGTGCGCACCTGGCGGCAGAGCGATGAACTATTAGTTTGAGTACCTACGCCTGGCGCTTGAACGGGAGAACAGTGGTAACCGGGGACGACTGTATTATCAGTGTTATGATTAGTGCTTGAATAAGAAAGTGATTTATTTTGAAGTCTTCCTTCAGGTTTTCGAACAGAGCTGACAAAGAAGCAACGTTATATATTTTTATGGAGTTTAAATTGTTTATATTTTCAATAGGTAGGCAGCCTTTTCACATAGGTAATAGAAATATTGTTCATTGCGCTTACCTAGGTTACAGCAATAAATTAGATGGCACAAAATTAAATAATAAAATAAACTATACAGCTAGTTTAATTCTACAGCGCCATTGACATATGCTGCAGCGCCGGAAGCACCATCGCTGAGAACGCCCTGCCGTTCACCCCGAGTCCGCCGGCGCCAACGTCTTTCGTCGGCCGTGCGTCGAATTCGTCGCCTTACTCGGTCGGCGCGGGGGCCATTTCTGACCGGCAAACTACGGCCATAATTCTAGCCAAGATTCATCTATGCAAAGGGCGATAAGGGCCACCGCCCGGCCGGCCGGCACGCGATTCTCAGCCGTACGGTGTGCTGAGTATGCTGGATTCGGTCGGGCCGCGAGCCGGCGGAATATTTTGAGCATCGTCAGGCTATCATGGCGGCGGCTACAAATTTCCCAGATGACTAGATTTGAATTTGCTGCGAACGTCGGCCGTCGGCCGGGCGCGCCGTGTCTGGGATTGGGATGAGGCCACTGTCCGAGCCTCGTGCGAGGCGAGCGGAGTGGGCGGACTGTTCCTATCACGGCGCAATGCGCTGCTCCTGGACATCATCTGCCGCTGCGAAATGCCAACGGAGCGGCAGCGCCGTGCATATATTGCTATCTG